TTGCAACCTGAATTAGTGAACAAATATTTCCTAAATTCCATTCCAGATAATAGTGTGGATACCAGTATTATTCATCACTAGAATAGCAATGTTTTGCCATCTATAGACAACTTGTTTCAGTTAAAACCGGTCACGGAGGATAAAATATTACAGATCTTCAATAAAATAAAATCTCGGGCGGTTGGACTAGATGGTTTGAATATAAATATGTTAGCTTCAGTGTTTCCTTTTTGTTCTAAAGCTTTAACTCATATAACTAACTATTCGCTTGAAAAAGGGTTAGTTCCTAAAATTTGGAAAGCCGCATGCGTTAGGCATCTTGCTAAAATTGATGCTCCGGAAGGACCTGATGATTATAGACCAATTAGTATCCTTCCAGTATTATCAAAAGTATTAGAAAAAATTGTATATGAGCAATTGATGCAGCAGGTCACTACATTCAAGATAATTCCATCTGCGCAGTCGGGGTTTCGAAAAAACCACCGCACCGTAACAACTCTGCTCGAAGTCTGTGACGACTTCATAAGGGCAATAGATAATTCTACAGTTACTACTGCTGTCATGATAGATCTAAGTAAGGCCTTTGATTGCCTCAACCATGAACTACTTATTGCAAAATTTCATTATTTTTGCTTCTCCGATAGTTCGATTAATTGGTTTCGCAGTTATTTTCACGAACGCATTCAGAAGGTAAAAATCGGTGACATCTTATCACAGGAGGGTACTATCTCCAAAGGTGCACCTCAGGGGTCTATTCTTGGACCTATTCTGTAGCGGACTTAGATCAAGTCACTAAATACTGCAAATTACATACCTACGCCGATGATATACAGATTTATCTATCTTCCAACTCTGCTATGTACACTGAAGCGAATGAGATGCTGTCTGGGGACTTTAATAGTATATGTGTGCGGTATAACAAACATAGTTTATGTATTAACCCTAGAAAGTCGGCTATCATAACTATTAAATCTAAATTCAGCAAATTCAATAGTGAATTAATAAACCTGTGTATTGGAGGTGATGAACTTTGCCACAAGACATCGGTTCGCAACTTGGGCATCACATTTGAGAGAACCTGTGCTTCCAATATTTTTTTTCTGCTTTAAATTTTCTTATTATCTTCTGTGTATTTTTTTCGTATTTACATGTACTTGAATTTTTTTAGCCCTGGTTGGTTCTGAAAAACTGCTTGTGCTGATGTAACCCGCCAGGTAAAATAAAGGCCATTTATTATTATTACTATTATTATATGCTGTCGATCCGCGTTTCCTTCTGTTACCTAAGCTCACCGCCCAGCGTACCACTCTGACTGAATATTCTGCCCGCACTTCAGGAAGGGGCAACCTTGCCAGATGGACGCTAACTACCGGTAGGGCAGGAAGAGACTGTTTATGGACCAATTGTATGGACGTGTCTGACTGACTTGATCCATGTAATTTCTCTGTTGTACATGTTTGTAAGTGATTTTTTTCCAGAGGGTTTGAGTTATGTTAAACTTAACCATTTACTTGACTCCATTTTCTGAGAAACGAAGCAACTCCATACTTATGTTCATATGAAGGTTTCTCCTTAAAACGACCTAATGAATCACCCTCTGCAATTTCGTTCCGTTTCTATTGGGTATAGCACGAAGATGGTGAACAGTGGTTTTGAACAACTTTGGGTAAATATATCTGTCAACAAAAAAGTACACGGTTGGAGTAGTTTATAAACCCCCCAATGTCAGCTATAGAACTTTGTCGGAGCTGGAAGAAATGATAACATCTATATTTCCAACATCAGAGGGCTTAGTACCCAACAAGCAAAGTAGTGCTGTAAGCTTTTGGTAAAAGAACCGTGCAGCCATAAAAGCTCTCTATTGTTGTTGCCTGAACACCAAAATGCTGCAACAGATTTGCTCTAAAATGAAGTGTTTAAAATATTCTGATAGCATAGTTACACAACACCTTATAGGACAAATTATTAACTGTTGCATAAACGTGTATACAACTACTTTATACGGCATATTTGCAGGTTAGTCAAAATGGTTGTGTTGTGGCATCCATGGTAACGTTTATAAAACAAACCCGAGCCTTGTTGTTTTGCTGTGCAAATTTACTACTTTAGCCGACCAATTGCTCCCAACGGAAGCACTTACACAACTGTTGTTTAGTAACTGTTAAAGGCTGTACATATGCTAAATATGTTGGTATACAACTTCACCATAACCTAACTTTCTGCTGTCATATTTTTGTTAAAATGCCATAACCAATGTTTTAAGACACACAACGCATGCATATTGGTTAAAATTGGTTTTATCAACTGTTCAAACAGAAGATATAGATCTGGTACAAATTCTAGGTAAATCATTAGACTTTGTCGGTATTTCATTTCTGACATTTGTCAAATTGTTGTATAACACCTGCAGGCAACACCAAAATATTCTAATAAACTAAAGACAACATGGACGATGCCATGATTATACACAATCACCCGCCATATTGGGCAAACATTTATTCCTCTATTTGATATTAAATAATTATGTTTCAGTTCGAAATTACGGATATAAAGTGATAAGCATTAGTGTAATTGTGTCTAAATATAGGATTTGTGGAAGATTTAACGCAGATAAGTTCAGTTTTCCATCTTAAAAATCTAGACATACTTTTGATCATTATCAAAATATGAATCAAATACGAAGCCCGTAGAAATTGCGTAACTACTTTGCACGATAATCACAATAAAATTTGCTGCGCAAGTAATTCAATAGCCCTATATCACAGTGTAGAAGTTTATCATATACCTGTGTATGAAATTCACAATGGCCGATATGTAAGTAAAAAGTGATAATTGTTAGTTGGGTATGCATGGCCCAACTAACAATTACACTCCTATTAGAGTTGCAAGAACGATTATACAGTCTTCCTTACACAGCATTGTATGCTGTAAGAACATTGGCAAAACGCTCTTAGAACAGCTATACAAGCGGAATGGGCACACCTAATAGGACACTTCAGTCATTTAAGAGGTTGTATAAGGGCTGCAAGTAACAGTTATACAACAAAAGTGTAAACCTCTTGCATCCGCTATAGAACATTTGCGTCAGTGCAAGATTCAGTTTTTATCAACTATACAACTATTCTGTTACATGATTCTACTTTATTACAAACAAACTATTTCTTATATATTGTATAGGCCAAGTGAAGAATATATAACTAACACATTACAGTCATCTTGTTTACTTACATATCGGCCATTGTGAATTTCATACACAGGTATATGATAAACTTCTACACTGTGAAATAGGGCTATTGAATTACTTGCGCGGCAAATTTTATTGTGATTATCGTGCAAAGTAGTTACGCAATTTGTACGAACTTCGTACTTGATTCATATTTTAATATGATCAAAAGTATGTTTAGATTTTCAAGATGAAAAACTGAACTTATCTGCGTTAAATCTTCCACAAATCCTATATTTAGACACAATTACACTAATGTTTATCACTTTATATCTGTAATGTCGAACTGAAATATAATTAATTAATTTTCAATAGAGGAATATATTTTTGCCCAATATGGCGGGTGGTTATGTATAATCATGGCATCGTTCATGTTGCCTTTGGTTTATTAGAATATTTTAGTGTTGCAAGTGTTATACAACAATTTGACAAATCTCTGAAATGAAATACGAACAGATTCGAATGATTTACCCAGAATTTGTACCTGTTTGAACAGTTGATAAAACCTTTTAAACCAATCTGCATGTTTTAAAATATTGGTTATGGCCTTTTAACTAAAAAGATGACAGCAGAAAGTTGGGTTATGGTGAAGTTGTATACCAACATATTTAGCAACAAATGCATGCCGAGCACAGCAATTTTGTACTATAAAAGTTGTAATATTGTTGCAGATGTACAGCCTTTAACAGTTACTAAACAACAGTTGTATACGTGCTTCCATTTGGAGCAATTTGTTGGCTAAAGTAGTAAATGTGCACACCAAAACAACAAGGTTCGGCTTTGTTGTATAAACGTTACCATGGATGCCACAACACAACTATTTTGACTACCGCGCAAATATGCCGGATAAAATCGTTGTATAATAAACGTTTATGCAACCGTTTAAAATTTGTCCTATAAGGTGTTGTATAACTATGCTAAAAGAATATTTTAAACACCTCATTTTAGAGCAAATATGCTGCAGAAAGAAAATTTTCATTCCACACAACATTAAGCCAGCATTTTGGTGTTCAGACAACAACAATAGAGAGCTTATAGCACTACTTTGCTAGTTGGGGGGCGACTTGAATATTAACTTCTTTGATTGTAGTAGTCCTGAATGTATCTTTGTTTCTAACATTTTTGAAGATTTGAATCTGCATCAAATAGTTGACCATGAAACCAGGGTCACGAATAACAGTAGTACCTTAACAGACGTCGTTTTCGTTAATGATGAAGTTCAGATTGCTAATAAAGGAGTTGTGAATCTTCCTGCGGTGTCCGATCACTATCTAGTTTATTTTTGTGTGGAATGTGAACCAGCCGTTAGAGATACAAAATATGTACAAACCCTTGATTTAAGGAATACTGATGAGTCTCTTTTGAATAAGGTAGCGTCTAATATTTCGACTATGATGACATTGAATCAAAACTGCAACATTTTTACACCCTTATTGATGATCTGCTAAATATATGCGCACCAATCAGGACCAGGAAGATATCAAAAGCACGTTGTCCCTGGATTACACACAATATCAAATTCATGATGCGGTTACGCAATAATGCCTATTTTAAGTTTAAGAAAACTGTTAAGAACAATTTTTCTGACGAGATAAAAACTGCCAAATGGATCCACTATAAGCAATTAAGGAATCTAGTAAGGAATCTTTCAGACAGCAGCGGTGGCCGCAGTAGTAGACTCTTCGGTCTCCTGATCAGTCGCCGTGCGCTGTGCGGGTTCGAGTCCCGTCTCAGGAGAAATTTTTCTCTTGGCTATGGATGTTGTGATTGTCCGTAGGTGGTAGATGGTCTCTGACTGTCGAACGCGGAAGTACCACCCGGCGGTTCTCGTAGGCGGAGGCAGAATGTGTGCATTTCCCATGTATCCCCCTATAGCCCCAAGGTACCCAATGGGCTTAGGCCTTAGGCCTTCGTGGTAGTTGGAGTATTAAAAAAAAGCATCTATTAGGCGCGAAAAAAAAGCATATATTGAATACCAGCTAAGAAAAAGCAACAGCTCTAGGAGCTGGTGGAAAGCTATAAAGGAGCTGGGGATTGATTCATGGTTTTAAGGGTAAAAATAATCAGTATACTATGGAACCCAACTTTTTAAATAACTGTTTTGTTGATTCAGTTCCCGATAACTCAATAAATGAAACACTCTTAGAGTACTATAACACCAACATGCTACTAAATATCAATGACCTATTTCAGTTTAAGTTTGTTACCGAGGAAAAAGTCTTGAAGACATTTCAAAAAATAAAATCGCGTGCTACCGGACTAGATGGCTTAAATATAGATACATTTTCCTATATTCTTCCTTTTTATCTCAATGCTCTTACTCATATTATAAACTTTTCTTTGGAACATGGTATCGTACCGCTCATATGGAAAGCTGCAAGTGTTATTCCCGTTGGTAAAATCGATAATCACCGATTGCCTTGCGATTTCAGGCCTATAAGCATACTTTCACTCAAAAATTCTAGAAAAGATCATTTACGAGCAAATGCTAACACACATCAATAAATACAGCTTAATTCCAAATACACAGTCGGGATTTAGAAAAAATCATAGTACTGTGACTGCATTAGTTGACATTTGTGATGACTACTTGATAGGTATAGATAATTCCTGCGTTAACTACAACTGTTCTGCTGGATTTGAGAAAGGTATTTGAGTGTTTAAACCACAAAATGTTATTAGCTAAGTTGCACTTTCTTGGTTTTTCTGAGAACTCGATTGCATGATTTGACAATTACCTATCAGATCGACTTCAACAAGTTAAAATAGGCAGTGACTATTCTGACAAACGGTTCATTGTAAAGGGGGTGCCGCAAGGTTCCATTTTAGGACCATTGTTATTTACTTTATACGTGTCGGACTTGGATCGGTCGGTCAAACATTGCGCCTTACATTCTTATGCTGATGATACCCAGCTTTATCTATCTTATTACCTTCCGCTCTAAGAAGAACGAGTTCAGTGGAGATGCTATAAAGCTGTGCCTCAATAGTGAAGAGCTCACACACAAAATATCGGTATTAAAGTTAGGAATAATTTTTGATGATCACTTAACTTTTCATGATCATATTTCTAAGGTTGCACAGAGCTCTTTTGCTAAACTAAAAAGCATCTACAGCTTTAAGCACGTGTTGGCTCAAGATACTAAAATTAAGCTTTACGATTCAGTCATTTCAAGTAAGATAGAATATGGAAGTTCCGTGTTTGGTCCTTGTTTGACTCAAGCCGAAGCTTACAGACTTCAGAAAGTGCAGAACAGCTGTATTAGATATTCTGTTGGAACCCGAAGAAGGGAGCGAGTGTCTCCATTTATTCAAGAAGTAAATTGGTTGACGATGAGGCAGAGGTGGTTGGTTCACATTTTATGCTTGGTTCATAGCATTTTACTGACCAAATACCCTATATATTTAAATAACAAATTATCCTTGAGAAGTCAGCATCATGCAGCCAACCTCCGATTCGTTGGTTAGACCCTTAACACGTCCTATCATCAACCACCCTATTTACTAAGAGTTTCTCTTTTCTTGCACCCTATCGCTATAATATGCTCCCTGCCAGCTATAAAGACTTATCTGTTCCACTTTTCAGGTCAAAAGTAAAAAAAATTGTTTTTGAAAATATATCATAAATCCTTATATTATTTAGTTTTTTAACTTATGTAATGGTGTATCTGTTATCTGTGACTGTATCTGTTTTTTTTTAGTTAAAAATAAATGCCTATTCTTGTTATAATAGATTTTTCGTTATTGTTATTCTACACAACATTGTTTATATCTCCCCAAATTTTGTATTATAACTTTGTTTGGTCCTGGTTGGTATGAAAAGCAGCTTTTAGCTGATACCCGCCAGGTTAAATAAAGGCTATTATTATTATTATTATCATTATCATTACGAGGGATGTCTTTTAAGTTTTGCATATAGAAACATAGTAGGCCGCGCGGATCGAACGTCAGTACTGAATCTTAACCCCACTCATTAGTAAACTTAAATTCAAAGCTTCACAACAATACGTGGAGTGTTCTCACTACAGTGAATTTTTAAGTGTCACCAAGTTATTAGAAAAATGGAACTCAACCGAGAACATTTTCGCGCCATAATTTATTACAACTTTCAGAGACAATTATTGCAACAAGAATGCCTTGCTGAGTTACTGTCTGTTTTCGGCAACGAAGCGCCACATCAGTCGACAATTTCCCGTTGGTATGAAGAATTCAAACGTGAACGGGTGAGTCTTAGCGACGATCCCAGGGTGGGTGCCCCAAAAACGGCAGTCACCCAGGAAAACGGCGATGCTGTGCGCAAACTCATCATTGAAGATAGTCATGTGATATATCGCGAGATTGAGGCGTCCTTGAAGATCTCAAAGACCTCAATTCAAAAAATTTTACATGAAGAATTAGGAGTAAGAAAATTAGTTTCTCGTTGGATACCCCACCTGTTGACCAAAGAGCAGAAAGCAGCCAGGGTTAATTGGTGTCAAAAAACGCTTGACTGTTTCAATTCCGGAAACTCAAAAAATGTATACAGCATTGTTAGTGGTGATGAATCATGGATTTACTGTTAGGAACCAGAAATTAAACGACAGTCGGCTGTTTGGGTGTTCCAAGGTGAAGGAAAGCCAACAAAAGTCATCCGTTCTCGAAGTGTTTCGAAAAAGATGGTCGCGACATTTGTGTCAAAAGCGGGTCATATTGCAACAATTCCTCTTAATGAGCAAAGAACTGTTACTGCGGATTAGTAACCCACCACTTGTTTGCCAAAAGTCATCACCGAGCTGCGAAAAATCAACCCTGAAAGAAGAATCATCCTCCACCAAGACAATGCAAGTTCGCATACAGCCCAAAAAACAAGTCAGAATTTAATGGAAGAAAACGTGGAATTATTGGACCATCCTCCATATAGTCCCGATCTAAGTCCTAACGATTTCTTTACTTTTCCGAAAATTAAAAACAGACTGCTTGGTCAAAGGTTCCAGTCACCAGAAGAAAGATATCCCTCGTATTATTATGCTAAAAGTCGATTACACCAAACAAGGTATCAAATTAATACGCATATGACGATTCTGTATTTTACCTCATAGGACCACTTATTTGTACATCATCCCAGGTCTCAGGATTCCTCCGAGGTGGAGCACCAATTACACCAAAGGATGGTTTTGCTTAGGTATATTAGCGTCAACGCTCCTGAAGAAAGTCCTCATATTGATGTCACAACTGGACTGTCTTTTCCCCCTATGGAATCGAACATACATGTAGATAGGTAGCATTTTGCTACTTCATCACTAGGATAGCTGATATTGCGCTTTTTTAGATCGCGCCCCAGACATGGGTACAAAATTGATTAAAAAGGTTACATCGCCCTGATTGTGAGTGACCATTCACCCATTCCACAGTTATGTTACTGCTGTGTGACCCATTAACATGCATTGTTGATCTTCGCCAATTCAGATTCAGTGTCTATGTCAAATGATGTTGAAATACTTCTCTTCATACAGAGCATATCAATTTCAGTACACCTTCTGCACTATGTGAATACAAAGACGTATTGAATGTATGCAAAATGATCATTGGCAGTATGTCATTCCGTAGTTGCTTAGAATTCTATAGACTTTGGAGACTGTTTCCAAAGATACAACCATTAAACGGTCAAATATATTTATCAGAATGTATCGTATGTCGTGCGAATGTGTAAACATTACCGCGAATGTAACAATTAATTTCCTCGCGAATTGATTGTATATGGTCAATTTCAGCTGATCAAACAAAGTACAATGGAAAAATTCTATGATTCAATCGGCCAAATATTTTTTTAATTGTATAAAATATTCATCCAACCTTCGCTCAAGTGTTATGAGTCATCAATATTTGGCAAATCTAATTGCGTTTGATCCGTGAAGAGTTTTTTACCAATTCTGGCCCCATTTCCCTAAAGAAAGGAAACATTTCTCCTTCTCGATGAAAAATAATGGTGAAAGCACCTAAATGTAAACATACACAATATTCTAGACACTTTTATGCATGTCAAACACCTTTTGAAAGGTTCACTTGACACTTGGAACGCGAACGCCAAGAAAGGCACTGCTGGCAAACACATTTCAACAACCACTCAAGACCCTGGAAAATTTCACGTGTATTCGTAAAAACAAAGGCACACAGAGACACAGCCCTCTAAGTTCATTCGAATATTGAAAGGTCGAAGTGCCTTTTTGAATAGTTTCCATATCAAGTTCAGTTTAAGATTCGATCAATTAAACGGTGAGCAATCACTGGACATTTCCTTTATTCTGCTGTACAGCATGGATTTTTAACCATAATACATGTATATTCATGACCACGGATGTCTTAAGCATGTTTATAAGTATGCTATGCTTTTTACATTCATATTTTAATTTATGGCTTACGACTTTACTATTTAATGTTCTTGAATTTGGTGGGATGCCTCCAGTTTCTGGGGGTTGTTATGGGACTTTCGGGGCCCGATTGTTGAGTTCAGGTAGTTGTGATAATCTGTGTGCCAAATCGTCACTAATAGTCTGGGTCATATTGCCCTTATCGCTTGCCAAAGGAGGATAACTTGTTGCCGTGACCAAGTAAGTGATCTGACATGTTGCCCATACGTAGTGCTTACGTACTGCCCTTGTGGTAAAAATAAAATGGTTTCACGTTTATTATTCGTCTTATATAAATAAATAATCTAAATATTAAAAGTGGCGTCAAGTAGTTTAACAGTAAAACTGGAAAAAACAAATATTTCTTTTTCAAACTAGGTGCTTCCAAGAATTCTTTACTAGTCCAAATATCAGAAACAATAACGAAGTTTGGGAGCGACCTCAAACTTTTCAATATTTTATTAATATAGTACGTTAGCCATCACCGAATCGATTTCTAAAAATAGGTATTTTCTACTATAGCCTCACAGAATACCACTCTCCAAATATTGGTGTAGCTATTTCTAAGATTGCGGGGTTAGAAAGTCGACAACAAGAGATACCTCCATACATATAATAATAATAACAGGACTTTATTTACACAGTACAGTGAAGCACAGGTAAAAAGGCGAAGTGTTGGAATAGCTGTTTTTCAACTTAACCTAGAACACGAGTGGCATGGATTTTCACGACGTCTGTACAATACGTTAAAAAATATGTATTGTATTCCGTTAATTCCATTCGGATGGTTTAACAAACAACAGCAGAATCAATTGAATTATCCAAAAAGGTACACATCAGCTAAAAAAAATGAAATACACCCTGCCCTAAGCCCTACTACCCCCACCCTCAATTGTTCAATCCTCAAAGATGAGCAAGAACCTCTGAAATGTCAAAAACTCAATTTGCCGCCGCCACTGATTCAATTTTCAAAAACTACAAAGCTTTTTATATCGTTGACGTACTAATAACCTTGTATTAAAATTTTATCAAAATCCGAGCAATACCTCTTCCAAATAAGAGGGACTAAGGACTAATAGACGGACAAAACGACACACAGACTGACGGAAGTGAGTGACATGGTTTTCCCTGATCTGCATGTCATGTAATATCAAAAAAACATGATATCTCTTTCGATAAAATTTTCGAGATTACAATACTTCCTCCCCAGTAGCGTGGGGAGGAAGTATACTTTTTGCAAAATTAATGTTTCATTTAGGTAAATTAATCCCGTTTGTCATTTTGACAGGTAACTAGGTGTTTAGCAATTTTTGGGACAAGATTAAATCCTCGACATACGAGCCCCTTCCCACTTCAGTTGGCCCAACTATTGAAATCTTAGTTTTTTTCTTATCAAACACAAATAATAAAAATGTAGCAGGGTGTTTTAGGTTTAAAATATTAACAATGAATATTTTGATAATATATAGTAGAAAACACCAACTTTATCACTCCCTAATCAAATTTGCAGTATAAAAATAACACATGTTGCAATTACAGCATATCAACCTATTTTCATTTCAATGCAAAATAAGTCTATAACGCATAGGTGGCTGTGAAAAATAAAAGCCATAACAATTGTTTTTATTAATCACAGCTGCCAGAATACGGAAAGGTTATTAGTGAGAAAATTCGGTTACTGATAATTAAATTTTTTAATTCTGGGAAATCAAACTCAGAAATTACAACTTTGTTAGACTTATGTGAGAAATATTTTTAGAAGATATAACGTAACTGGTTCAGTTAATATTAAGCCACGAAATGTGAAAAAAAGTAATAACACAAATGCCGACCGAAGAGCATTAAGAAGAATAATCGCGAAAAACAGGCGTGCCAATTATTTAGAATTAAGTGCTCTGTGGAGTGACGCTGTTGGAGGGAGAATTTCGAGGTCCACAACTCATAGATAGGCCCACAAACTGGGATTTAGCACTTGCAAGGTAAGTTTTCTTATAAAAACAAGTGAAGTAAAAACCCTAAAGTTGCACAACTTGTTTATAGGCCAAAGAAAAGCCACTATTAACTCCACTGCAAAAGAAAAATCGGCTTGGATGGGCTAAAGAACATAGACAATGGACACCTCAACAATGGTATTCAATACAATGAAGTGATGAGGCCCGATTCGAAGTTTGTGTTGGTGACAGTCGCGGTAGAGTTATTCGCAAAAAAATGAAGCATTCCATGTTGACTGTCTGGAGAGAAAAGTGAAATTTCCAGCATTTATTATGATCTGGGGCAGTATGTCATCAAAAGGAGTAGAAAAACTTCATTTTATTGATGAAAATGTTGATACAAACAAATATTTGGCAATTTTAGAAGAATCGCTTTTACCAGTGATGGAAGAATGTTTGACATCCGACCAAGATTTTGTGTTTCAGCAAGATGGTGCAGCGTGCCATACCTCAAAAAAGGCTACAAAAAGGATGGAAGAAAATAATGTCTCACTTTTGAAATGGGTTTCTAGCCGTCCAGATCTGTCACCTATTGAAACTTTGTGGCACGAGATGAAAAAGGTTCTACGACAACATCCTGCTCGTACAATCACCGAACTGAGACAAAAGCTTCAAGAAATATGGGATTGTTTTACACCAAATGTTTGCCAAAACTTGGTTAACACTATGCCTCAAAGAATTTCAGCCGTAATAAAAAATAAAGGTGATGTTACCCAATGGTAATCTTTCAATTGTTGCTTTGTTAACTTCGCGCATTTATTCGCACATTGATTATTTGTTCAGATGTTCTACTAGTTATAGGTCTAAGTGATTTCAAATATGTATTTTTTACGACTAGAGTGTATCTAAAATGTTTTTGAGAGAATAAATTGTTTGAGAAGTAAATATTTTCTTCATGTTTAGTTTATAAAGGCATATTTTGGTACAAATCTTGAAGTGGGCCAACTGATGTGGGAAGGGGCTCGTACTTTGAAAATAGATTAATAAGCGCAAAATGTCAATACCGAAAGCCCCACCCCCAAGATCAACAGCTGGCATTTTTTGACATATCAACCCACCTTTACCGGCTTCGCTCCTTGACTCCGTGATTAACTAGAAACTAACCTTTGCGCCAGACAGCGCGGTAGCTAAAATTCACAACACGCACTCAAGTAGCCGGTCTAATGGGTCTGGTAATCCAAGTAAACATTGCGCCAAAAACTGCACGCGAACTACAAAGTATTATTCGCGCGTCCGGGTCTATTTAAAAAAGCTCCCGTCGAACGGTTTGACAGCTGACTGTCGGCCTAGATCGGCGCGGAACACGTGCTAAACGTTGCGCCGACTTGGTTTAACTGAAAAATGTGCGTGCCGACCGTCAAACTGAGACAAACGACTACCAACGCGTATATACAGCAGGCTTCCACTAGCAGACTAGATAGTAGTCGATAAGTCACGTTATGGGAATAGCGGTATGGTATGGCCGATGGGTGGTGGTCGACGGTATAGGAGAGTAGTGGAAAATCCCCTCGTACATACACAATACATACTTTCTTGTGCCGACTGACGATACCAGCGACGTCGGTACAGATTTATTGAGGCAACGTATAAAGGACCCAGAAATTTAAGGTATTGAATAAGGTTTTTCTTACATCGAAGCAGCCTAAAGCCTGGTTTACACGTGTAGAGTAAGTAGTAGAGTTCGGTGGTAGAGTACTTACTATTCCGCTACCTAAGAGACTTATAACATATCGTGCTAGTAACAGTAGAGTACACTCGACTCGTTCGTTCGTTTACTGTACTAATGTAAACAGACACAGATTTTTTAGTAGAGGAAAGTATTTTTCTGCTGCTTTCCGGCTATTTTAAGTTAAAAATTTTGCTTAAACGTACGAAATAAAATGAAGTGGACGGAAAGTGAAACCATGAAGTTAGTGGAAGTATACAAAGGATATGAGTTTTATGGAATATTAGCAGCCCCAACTTTACAGGGTGACTTCGAAGTTGAGTCATTTATTTTAACAGTGAGTAGATCTGTTCAAAAGAAATGTTTTTTTCCTTTAACATTTTTGTGGTAAAATTAAAGTAACAAAGTTATAGCCCTTTAGAAGTTTGAGTACCACCCTGTCTCAATAATAATATTATGTGCTCGTATTTGGCAACAACGGATATAATCCGCCTTATCGGTTCATCGCATCGGAAACAAAAAAGCGAAAGAATTTGAAACGCTTATCACGATGTTTTTACTACAATTTTATTCAGTTGTATTCAGTCAATGTGTCAGTCGGTAACGCGTGAGTGAATAGTGGTGTCTCTTGCGTGGCTCAAACGCAATAAAAAATGGCGCATGTTTACGAAAATGCTGAACTTGTGGACATGATTCTTATTTACGGGGGGGGAGTCTTTACAAAATGCTGCCGCGGCATCACGGCCTTATGCGGATCGGTTTCCCAATCGAGTGCAACCAACCCCTCGTGCCTTTGTTAATGTAGTACAAAGGGCTCGTGAATCAGGTGACTTAAGACCTCACAGGGGAGGGCATGCCGGTGCTCCAAGACCGCACGATCAAATACAGGTCCGCACTGAAATACTTGTCGGGAGGATACTTTATAAAACAAGGTAACATTTTTTTTTTATTTTTACACTCCTATTTTGGTTTATCTTCCTTCTACAATCATTATCTGAAAATTAATGACTCAATTTCAAAGTCACCCTGTAGAAATAGGTCAATGAGATCCGCCGCCTACGAAGACATAGCAAAGGAAAATTTTGGTATCGCAGAATTAAAACAAAAAATTAAAAATCTTAGATGTACTTATAACCAAGAAGACAGGTAGCGGTGTAAATGATATCTATGTTCCAAACATTAAATGGTCTACTTTAATGGATTCTTTCATAAAAAATTTAGAAGGATCTGGTACTACACAGGACAACATGGGAAATATAGAGTGTCAAGAAGTAGCTCAACATTTTTATTTCTTTGTGAAAAATCTACATAATAATAAATATGTATGTAGTATAATGGACAATTGTTATTATTAAATGTCAGACTACCGCGGCTACTATGAGAATCCCAAAGAAGGTTTGTTAATACGATTTTTTAACTGCTTAATGTTAGTAGAACTAAGAAAAGCCTCCTCTTGTAGAGTGTTGCACAATCTGGACACTATGCGAAAAAACAGTTAGGGTAGAAGGTCGAAGTCAGGAGGGTCTGTCTGGCAGCCACATCGCGCGGCCGCATCATGGAGAAGAGATCTGAGAAGCAAAGCCCGTTGGGGTAGCGGTAGAAAAGAGCTAGATCGCCGACGGCCGGTACGAAAGGGTCCCGAGACTGTCTCTTATAGAAGAGTCATCGATCAGTCGGACAGCCCTCCTCTGGACAGCACCGAGAATTATATGGAGTGGGGAAGTACAGTACTGTGTTTTGGAAGCATTGAACTATACAAGATTGTTGCGTCCCCAAGCAGTGATAAACTCCAGGACTCTCGTCTGAGAGCAAGTCAATTATGACGGATATTTTGCGGCCAGAGAGAAAGTCAACCACTCATCTGCAAAGCTTTCTCTGGCAGGCCATAGGATGGAAGTTTGCATAAGAGGGCAGCATGATCGAACGTTTTCGAGATATCAAGAGCAACAACATGAACCTCACCATAAGACTGGATGAGTTTACTCCACAACAGCATTCTGTCTATCACTAGTCAAGCCGTGACATTCGAGGTACTCCAGAACCTCGCGATTTATGCACCTCTCCATCACCTCACTGATAACAGAAAGCAGAGTGGTAAGGGTCGGTCTTGGATTCCTTTTTTGGGATGGGTTGGACATGGGAAAATTTCCAGTTTTCTTTCTATCATGTCAATGAGATGTGTCCGAAGAACGGCATCATTTTTGATCAAATGTTTATGGCGACTCATCAGCATGATCTAGGTTTGGCCTCTGTGACAACGAACGAAAGCAGAGCAACTATCATCCTTCCAAGGCGTGAGGTATATCAAAATAAGACAACGAAATGCTACATCAAGATCATTTAATATTATTCAGCGGATTGCATCGTCCAGAAGTATCAAAGTTTCATCATTTTTTAAAATATTGCCCAGTAAAAATAGCACTGATATATTACTACTGCATTTTATACCACATTTGAATACCTCATTCCATATGGCAGTGATAATTAGTTGTCGAGCGATTAGCTGTATTTTCTAGAGAAGGACTCAACGTTGGAAATGTACCAGTTTCATAAGAGGTGAGTTTAAAATATTTTTGTTACATCGCACATGGATCAAGTAAGGCACAATTTGAAAAAATATGTATCTAGTTTACTCCGCATGAGTCTAATTTACTGTGGGTTATGGGAAACAGAAGTAGCAGGCTGTTCCATCATAGAGTTGTGTTCCAAATCCAAACGGTCTGTCGATAAAGTGTACTGCTGAGCAAATGCTTACCAAATGCTTTCAATGGATTGTTATACCTACATCATTCCAAATGCATTTTACATCAAACAGGATGATCGATCGCAGAAACATATATCTATTCGATGGCTTACAATTTATTACATACTTATAAATCATTCCAAAAGAAGATTCATAAAATGTGTTATATGACTCTGATCAAAAATTGCTTATCGGTTACTCTTGGAAAACAAACACTTCACCCCGACAATGTATGGGATGTGTCTCTATACAAAGTGTATGATATTTTTTTGCAAAGCTTTTGGTCAGCAGTTGAACACCTCGTTCTTGTCACTATACGATAAGCTACAGATATAAGTCTACAAACTCACCATAATCAAGTTATGCACGCAGTGGAAACCTTTTTCTTGCAGCAGCAGCTTCTCTTCTACGAGACAGCATTGTTACGGTTAGCTACTGAGATATCAGGTGTTTTGTCACTTCGGCAGCCCCTCAGTCCGCCATTGTGAAATTTGGAGTGCTGAATTTTGTATCAAAAAAAACTTTAATCTTATTTGTTACTTTTTCGAATTTCAATTGTTGCTCATACAGAGTGGTCAAAAACGCAAATTGTAGTTTTTCTCAAAAATTTCAAATGCATCACCCTGTATATTTGTGCAAGTGGATTCAATTTTTTATAAGCTTTTTTATAACGTTTGATTCAGAAAAAATCACTAGATTTTGATGTATTAAGCTTTTAATAGAACAACGCACCAAAATTAAGGAAAAAAATCACATCATCCATGGAAACAAACGACAAACAGTGGGCTAGTTCCATATTGCCAATAAGAATTCAGATTTGACGTAAAAACTAATAACAATCAGAACAGTATAAATCAGCTTCAAGCGTAATAGAGAAAAACAATTATAACAACAACATAAACAAACAACTATCACTACTCAAGACCTAATCTACAAAAACTGCTCGGAAAGATCTCCACCATGTTGAATATACAGCCGTAGTCTTTTTTCTGGACAAAGCACCTTACATCTCAGTAGCTAATTACCTCATAATATGTTACATCAACCTTCTTTTTTATAATTGGTTTATCCAAATATGCAATAACATTTGAGGCATTCCATTTAAAAAATCACAACTTTTATATGTAGGTCAAAATTGGGACACCCTGTATAATTGCCAATATTTTATAAATGTGCCCTCAAAAGTCATGTATAACATGCCATGAATAGATTTTCCCAAAATGTATTTGTTTATGAGTAATATTCCATCCACGCATGGATGGGACACCCTGTATATATATATATATATATATATATATATCCTGAACGTAAACCACAATTAGCAAAATCCTCACATACTACTGTTAGTTAAGTCAATTTAAATTCATTTTACATTATTGTTGCTAGTGTTATCAATGTAATTGCAGCTCCTGAAGATAATGGCAAAGTCCATTGAAAGCTAGAGAGAATTAAAAAAGTATAAAGAGTCCTCTTTGCTTAAATCTTTGTCGAAGTACCCAACAAAAGGCGGAAGCTTTAATTTTTCACCTATATATATATATATATATATATATATATATATATATATATATATATATATACAGGGTGACTTTGAAGTTGAGTCATTAATTTTCAGATAATGATTGTAGAAGGAAGATAAACCAAAATATGTGTAAAAATAAAGAAAAAATAAAAAAAAATTTTTACCTTGTTTTATAAAGTATCCTCCCAACAAGTATTTCAGTGCGGACCTGTATTTGATCGTGAGGTGCCCTGTGAGGTCTTAAGTCACCTGATTCACGAGCCCGTTGTACTACATTAACAAAGGCACGAGGGGTTGGTTGCACTCGATTGGGAAACCGATCCGCATAAACATGTGCCATTTTTTATTTGGTTTGAGCCACGCAACAGACGCTATTCACACGCGACTGACACTGACTGTATGTATAACTGAACTGAATGAAATAAAAACATCGTTCCAAATTCTTTCGCTTTTTTGTTTCCCATGCGATGAACCGATAAGGTGGATTATATCCGTTGTTGCCAAACACGAGTACATGATATTATTATTGAGACAGGGCGGTACTCAAACTTCCAAAGGGCTATAACTTTATTACTTTAATTTTAC